TAGAAGCTTAGAGAAGGAGAGACTGGTTTAGCAGGTTTCTCCAGGTAAGGGGCTTGTAGAAGGAGAATTTTGTTGTTGGTATTGTTGTTGGCGATCCTGAAGTGCAACCCAGCCTGTGTGCAACCCGGCCTGTGTGCAACCCAGCCTGTGTGCAACCCGGCCTGTGTGCAACCCGGCCTGTGTGCAACCCGGCCTGTGGTAGATGGAAAGAAAGAGAGGATGTGGCAGGAAGGCTGGAGGGAGGAGGCCGCGCTCTGGCACAGGCTCTGAGGGAAGAGGCCATGTTGGGGGAGAAGGGGGAGCAGGGGGTTCCCAGGGAGGGCTTAGAGAGACAAATGTTGCCTGTGGGGACTCTCTCCCCCTTTGTTCTGAGCGCTCACAGGAGCCGTAAGAGCCCCATAGGATGCTGGGATGGAGGGTGCCAGGAAGTGGGTGTTTGGAGACACCATCAAGCGTGGAAAGGGGCCACACGTGGTCAAGAAGACGTCCCAGAGGGGAGGAAGACGCTCCGTGGCGCGGAGCGAGCAGTAGGGGCTTACTTAGCAGGGACGGTGGGCAACCCCCAACGTTCCTCGGCCAGTAAGAGTCCTAAGCAGCTGGGGAGAGGAATCATCCCCCCACGATTCACGGGTCCCCCCCCCCACAAAGGCCCAGAGAGAGTCCCAGAGCTTGGTACCGAGCCTCTCGGAAGTCAGCGATGGAATCTGGGTTCCCAGAAGGAGCTCACACACCAAGGAAGGTGGGTGGATGTGGATGGCCGCCGGTGGGGGTGAAGTGGGGGCGCTAGGAGATGGGGGAGACCAGCTCAGGGGGAGAGGGGGTGATTTTCTGGGTGGGCTGGAGGGGTTGGGGTCCCCAGAGCAACTAGGATTTCACAAGAGGGGAGAAGAGCAAGGTTGGTGGACGTGAGAGTCTCGGCCTGAGTCATGGCACCAAACTAAGGCTTCCCCCGGAAAATCACTGGGACCCGTGGTTGCAAACCCAGGAGAAGGAGTTTAATGTCAGTAGCCTGACAGGCGTCCTCGTGGGGAGAGAGCAGCAGCGGGGCTAGGGTCCCGTGGACCGTGACAGCTGGACACAGCGTGGTGGAAAGGGTTAACATTTGCAGTTGTAGCTGCACAAACAAGGGAGGGGGAAATTGCGTTTTGGAGGAGAGGCTGCCATTGGAGATCACAGTCACCCGTGTCACCTGATTTCAGGTAAAACCCTGTGTCACCTGATTTCAGGTAAAACCCTGTGTCATCTGATTTCAGGTAAAAGCCTGCCTCACCTAATTTCAGGGAAAGGCAGTTTTGTTTTTGCCGAAGGTCTGAGGTGGCAGACCAGGCGGGAAGATGGAGGGAGAGAGGCTAACAATCCTTACCTCCATTTAACCACCAGAAAACCAGAAGTGGCGCTGTGGCTCAAATGGTAGAGCGCTCGCCTTGAGCTGAAGTGCTGAGGGACAGCGTCCAGGCCCAGAGTTCAAGCTCCCATGACCACCTCCACCAACAGCAAAAAGAAATTAACAGTAACTAAGCACACAATAGAAGAAGGTGTGCTGTGATCAGATTACCACCGCTCATCTGTGCCTGGCAGCCGCCATTAAATAAAGTAAAGGTTACCTGAGCTCAGTCACTGCCAGGACAGCTCATCCCCCCTGCTGGACAGCTGCTGCATGACCCCTGTGTGGTAGAGGACATGCTGGATAAAGCGAGGGTCTCACGCTGGGTGGGAGCGGTAGCAGACACAAGCAAGACTTAACCACACTGCCCAGAGCAACAAGTGACTTAAACCTTACAAATGCATCATTTCTGATAGTCACTGCTTCCAGTCCTGGGCCTGGGCGCTGTCCCTGAGCTCCAGGCCAGCCGTCTACCACTTGAGCCACAGCACCACTTCCAGCTTTATCTGTGGATGTGGTATGCAGGAATCGAACCCAGGGCTTCAAGCGTGCTAGGCAAGCGCTCTACCACTGAGCCACTTTCCCAGCCCCAAGAGATTCTTACCTCTAATGAAGCACCAAGAAGGTTGGAAGTGAAGCCATGGCTCACGTGGTAGAGCGCTAACCCTGAGCAAAAGAGCTCAGGGACGGCAACCAGGCCCTGAATGCAAGCCCTGGGACCAGCAAACACACATGAAGGGAAGGAAGGAAAAACAGCACTTCTCACAACTGTCAGCCAGCACCCCAGGCTGCAGAGAAATACGGGGCGCATTCTTCATGCCAAGGTACTTCAACCAGCTCCTCACTACCTGCTGGTATTTGTCTAGTGCAAAACGATCATAGCATGTTTCTTTCTGTGATACCCAAACGTCTTTGGAAACTGTGCACACACACACACACACACACCACCACCATCACCACCCACAAAATATCTCCCACCTTGGTCTAGGCAGTGTGAAGTGCTCCTATCACAGAGTTTGGAGTCACGTGATACTTGAACAAGGTACCTGCTTTGTGGGACCTAACTGTCCATCAAACCATCCTGTCGTTACATCAGTAAAACCCAGCAGGTAGGCCGGGCGCTGGTGGCTCACGCCTGCCATCCTAGTTACTCAGGAGGCTGAGATCTGAGGATTGCAGTTCAAAGCCAGCCCAGGCAGGAAAATCCCAGAGACTCTTCTCTCCAATAAAACACTCAGAAAACCAGAAGTGGTGCTGTGGCTCAAGTGGTAGAGCGCTTGCCTTGAGCTGAAGAGCTGAGGGACAGCGCCCAGAGTTCAAGTCCCACGACAAACGAAAAATAAATAAACAAAAACCTGGCAAGTTGCCGTGTAGCACAAGTTTCCCGTGAGCCCTGGTTATTAACAACAATCAAGGATTTACTAAGAGCAAAAATATGAATTAAACAAGTGACACAGTGGTTGCTTTTACGGACATCTGCCACCAGAGGGTAGTGTTCAGACAGGAAAGAGGATCTTGGTTCAAAGCCAACCCAGGCAGGGGAGAAAAACAATTCCTCAAAGGCCTGGGAAGGTGGCTCAGTGGTAGAGCACTTGCCTTGCATGCATGAAGCCCTGGGTTCGATTCCTCAGCACCACAGAAGCAGAAAAAGCTACAAGTGGCGCTGTGGCTCAAGTGGTAGAGCGCTAGCCTTGAGCTGAAGAGCTGAGGGACAGCGCCCAGGCCCAGAGTTCAAGCCCCACAACAGGAAAAAAAAAAAATTCCTCAAAGACTCCATCTCTAAAATAACCAGCCAAAAAAAAAGGCAGGCTGGAGAAATGGCTCAAGTGGTAGAGCACCAGCCAAGCCAGCAGGAGGCCTCGAGTTCAAATCTCATTACCACCAAGAATAAAAATTTCCTTAATCTGGCTTGATGCACCAGTGTAACTGAGGCATATTTGATACTGGATGGAAACCAAGCATACTGGCGATCAGACCAGTGACAGGATACTAACATACCATTGACATGCCACGCCTACTTCAGAGATGAGTAGTAATACATTATTTTGTTTTATTATTATTATTTGCCAGTCCTGGGGCTTGAACTCAGGGCCTGGGCACTGACCCTGAGCTTCTTTTGCTCAAGGCTAGCACTCTACCACTTGAGCCACAGCACCACTTCTGGCTTTTTCTGTGTATGTGGTACTGAGGACTCGGACCCAGGGCTTCGTGCGTGCTAGGCGAGCACTCTACCACTAAGCCACACGCCTCACCCAAGTAACATTTTTTTTCTTTTTTGGACAATATCATCCCTTCCTTTGATTTTTCCCCCCATTTCCTTAGATTTTCCTCTCCCATTCCTGTTCACAAGTAAGGTGTGATTGTGTGTGTGTGTGTGTGTGTGTGTGTGTGTGTGTGTTGGTTCTGGAGCTTGAACTCAGGACCCGGGCTCTGTCCCTGAGATTTTGTGCTCAAAGCTAGTGCTCTACCACTTTCAGCTACAGCTCCACTTCTGTTTTTTTGAGTGCTTATTTGAAGAGTCCCAGAGACTTTCCTCTCCAGGCTGGCTTCGAACTGTGCTCCTCTTAGCCTCCTGAGAAGCTAGAATTACAGTCATAAGCCACCGGTGCCCGGCTAAGATTTCATTCTTTTTGTTGTTGTTCGTTGTGGGGCTTGAGCTCTGGGCCTGGGCGCTGTCCCTGTGCTCTTTAGTTCAAGGTGAGCGCTCTACCACTTGAGCCACAGCGCCACTTCAGGTTTTCTGGTGGTTCATTGGAGATAAGAGTCTCACGGACCTTCCTGCCCAAGCTGGCTTTGAACCGCGATCCTCAGATCTCAGCCTCCTGGGTAGCTGGGATGACAGGCGTGAGCAGCCGGTGCACCAGGCTAAGGTTTAATTCTGTGATTGACACTCTTCTCTGTTGTTATTTCTCCTTGTAGATTGGAAAGGAAATGCTGAGGAGTTGATAACGCTTTCTTCTCGTGCCTTGGACTCTTGCAATGGGTACCGGGAAGTCTAAAATAGACGCCTGCCCTCTTTCTCTCTCTTGGCATAAAAGGCGCAGCGTGGAGACAGCTGCGGGCCGCCGGGAGTCTGCAGCCGAGAGGGCCGGGGAAGCTGCGTCCTGTGACACCGCAGGGCCCGGTGGTGGCGGCACAGAGGCCGGAGAGCCGGAGGAAGCCAGGGCCCAGGAGAAGGTTCCAGAAGACGAAGCAGGACAAGACGTGTTCCTCAAGTTTGTGATACTGCACGCGGAGGACGACACCGACGAGGCGCTCCGGGTCCTGGAGCGGCTGCAGAACGACTTTGGCATCAGGCCGGGCCTCATCTTCGCGGAGATGCCCTGCGGCCGCCAGCCCCTGCAGAATCTGGACGACGCGGTGAACGGCTCCGCCTGGACCATCTTGCTGCTGACCGAGAACTTCTTACGGGACACCTGGTGCAACTTCCAGTTCTACACGTCGCTGATGAACTCGGTGAACCGGCAGCACAAGTACAACTCCGTCATACCCATGCGGCCCCTGAACAAGGCCCTACCCCGGGCCCGCACGCCCCTGGCCCTGCAAACCATCAACGCCTTGGAGGAAGACAGCAGCGGCTTCTCCACGCAAGTGGAGAGGATCTTTAAGGACTCCGTGTATAAGACACAACAGACTATATGGAGGGAGACAAGACACGCAGGTCGAAGACAGTTTACCGGGGCTGGGAAGGTGGCTCAGTGGTAGAGTGCTCTTGCCTAGCATGCATGAAGCCCTGGGTTCGATTCCTCAGCACCACAGACACAGAAAAAGCCAGACGTGGCGCTGTGGCCCTGAGTTCAAGCTCCAGGCCTGGCAAGGAAAAAAACAAAAAGACAGTTTACTGCCTGAAATAAAACACCCGCGTTTGACTGCTGGTGTGTAAATTCACTGGGTAATCTGAAATTGAGAAAGACAAAGTTCAAGAAAGATTTAACCGAAAGAGTACATGCTCTTAGGGTCCAAGAGATTTCTGCAGGGCTAATATTGGCTGGGGGAGGGGAGAAGAAGGGGTATATTTGTGTGTGTGTGTGTGTGTGTGCACACGTGTGTGCATGCATGCACGGGTGCACACACCAATACTGCAGCTTGAACTCAGGACCCTCACACTCTTATGCTCTTCCCTTGGCTATTTTTGCTCATTCAAGGCTGGTACTCTACCACCTGACCACACCTCCACCTCTTACCTTTTGCCGTTAACTGGAAATAAGAATCTCATGGACTTTCCTACCTGGCTGGCTTTGAACCGCAAATCTTCAGGTATCTCAGCCTCCCAAGTAGCTAGGATGACAGGTATGAGCTACCAGTGGGAACCTTTTTGTGAATGAACTTGGAATTGTCAGCGTTTAAAGGCTACCCTAAGAAAGGTTATTGATTGGAGAAGAGAATGCATAGCTAGCCATACACTTTCTAGAAGCTCTGCAAATGACACCCTGGTTTTACAGACCAAGGACTGATACAGAAAGCTTTCAGGCTGGGCCATGTTTCCACCAAACCTAACTACCAGGCGACAAATCTCCACTTTATTGTTTTTGGTTTTGGTTTTTTTGTTGATCGTGGGTCTTGAACTCTGGGCCTGGGCGCTGTCCCTCAGCTCTTCAGCTCAAGGCGAGCGCTCTACCACTTGAGCCACAGCGCCACTTCCAGTTTTCTGGTAGTTCATTGGAGATCAGAGTCTCAGGGACTTTGCTGCCCAGGCTGGCTTTGAACCGGGATCCTCAGATCTCAGCCTCCTGAGCAGCTGGGATGACAGGCGTGAGCCACCGGTGCAGGGCTGTTTCCGCACTTTAAAACAGAGCTCGGAGGTCTTTATGGCTGGCCTGGAGAACGAAAGGAGATAAGGTTTTTACAAACACAGGAGGCGTTTGATAAATGGTTTCCATTCCATTATCTCCTGGGGCTGGAACACGGACTTCTTTGCAGCTTGGTTGGTGCGACTCTCATCCCCATGCTGGGCCTTCCCCCTCCCCGTGTGCCCTGCTGGCACCGAACCCTCTGTGACCGCTGCCCGTGAGACCAGGGCCACACCAAGGCCCGAGTGCCGGGAATGGGCTGTGCGCACAGCTCAGCAGGTCACGTGACTCTGCTTGGAACCCAACGTTCACCTGAACCCTGGAACACCCCCCACCCCCCAGCTCACCACCATTCTCCGGTCCATTTTCTTCTTTCTTTGTTACCAATGTTATCTCGGCCTTGTGGGGGGAACAGCGTGAACCTCTCTGTTCTACAGAAAGACTCGCGGGGAGGCAGAATCAGGAGGAGCCGGATCCAGGCTTCGGAGCCTCACGAGTCCTTACCTTGGCCCCTGTTTGCTGCAGTTTGTGAAATTACAAATTGTCCCTCATTGTCACATACCACGGCTTGGACCCAGGCTCACCCTCAGGAGAATGTGTGTGGAAGGGATTTAGCTGCCATTGCCAAAATTACTCTAGGTGTCTCGGGTGGGGGGGGTAGACATTGTGTTTGGATGAGATCCTGGGGGGTGCTCGTTATGTGTCTAATATTAAGAAATGACCTAGCCGGATGCTGGGCTCATGCTGGTCATCCTAGCTACTCAGGAGGCTGAGATCTGAAGATTGCAGTTCAAAGCCAGCCCAGGCAGGAAAGTCTATGAGACTCTGATCTCCAATAAACTACTCAGAAAAAGCCAGAAGTGGCGCCATGGCTCAAGTGGTAGAGCGCTAGTCCTGAGCACAGAGAGGCTCAGGGACAGAGCCCAGGCACTGAGTTCAAGGCCCAGGATAAGAAGGAAGGAAGGAAGGAAGAAGGAAGGAAGGAAGGAAGGAAGGAAGGAAGGAAAGAAGGAAGGAAGGAAAGAGAAATCTTAGATGGGAGAGAGTCTTGGCTGGCTTTTTTGTTGTTTGTTGTTGTTGTTCGTGAGCTTGAACTCTGGGCCTGGGTGCTGTCCCTCAGCTCTTCAGCTCAAGGCTAGCGCTCTATCACTTGAGCCACAGCACCACTTCCGGCTTTTTGTGTGTATGGGGTGCTGAGGAATCAAACCTAGGGCCTCATGTATGCGAGGCAAGCGCTCTATCATTGAGCCACCTTCCCAACCCTGGCCTTTTCTATTTTTTTTTTGTGAGTCATGGGTCTTGAACTCTGGGCCTGGGCGCTGTCCCACAGCTCTTCAGTTCAAGGTGAG